CTGTCTCTTTCTCTCTCTCTCTCTGTCTCTGTGTCTGTCTCTCTCTCTCTCTCTCTCCTTCTTTCGTGGTACTTTGCAGGCTTCTGTTCTTTTTCACTGGGTGAGCAGACATTTCTCCTAGTCAGAAACTTGCACTTCTGGCCGCACAGCTTGGAGGGAACACCCTGCCTCTGGGGTTCTTTCTCTCCATACCCTATTTTCAGGTTTGAATGCTCTTCATCGTCCCTAGTGTTAGGGTCTGTGGGTGTCTGGGCTGGGAGAAGCTTCTTAAGGTGTTCACAAAACCAAAGAGAGTTCTGTCTGTGCAAAATCTCTGCTTGTGCTTAGGTTCTAGGCTAAAGCCATATACCAGGTTTGGAATGCCTATCGCGCTTGTTCCGTTTCCCCTGAATTCCCTCATTTGAGATCAAAAAAGAGCAGGGCAATGAGAATGATCTGATCAGTTGTTTGGGAACATTAAAAGGCAGAAGAATAATGTGAGGAGCCAAGAGTCAGTGTTGCCTGCCTGGCCCGTGGCCCCCAGGGTACTCTCTCTCTTCTTAGAGGGAGCAGTAAGTTGTGGTTGTGGTTGCGGGTCACTTCTCTCCAGGGCTTGGCCTAGGCTTTGAGTCAGAGATTTATTGAGAAGCTGATAAGGCAGATGAGTCTCTAGTGTTCCCAGGGGTAAGCCTGGCTTGGTGAGAGGGGCTATGGTGAGTGGTGAGGGGTTAAGGCATGGTGGGTCTCCTTGCTGGCCAGCATCCCACCTTTTCCTTCCTCTCCTCTTCCCCCTCCTTCCTCTGCCCTGCTCCCCTCCTCTTTATTCCTCCCCTTTTCTTCCTTTTCTCCTCCCCTCACTCCCTTCCTGATGTCTTTCCATTTGTTAAAGAAAATGAAGATAATATATATGCTTTCTTTGAATTGAATATTGTGGTTTATATCTAACATATTCCCCCCAAATCTCACCTGCATACACAGAGTTAGGCTTTTGGGAGGTGCTCAGATCTTGGGGGGCCCAATATTTACCAGTGGACTATCACCCTCTGCTCATGGGTTCACAGGTGAGTCTGCTGCTGGGAGGAAGCCTTTGTCAGAGGGGACAGATCACTGGGGCATGCTCTGGAAGGGCAGGTTCTCATATGCAGTTCAGGCTGGCCTTGAACTCACTATGTAGTCCAGGCTGGTCTGGAACTCCTGGTGATCCTCCTG